CAGGGTGTTTATTTGCTAGGAATGCCCAGATGTCATTTAAAATTCTGGGGAAAAAAGTGTCCTAATTTCTTCATGGGAAGTCTTTACCCTCATGTCTCACTTGCACTTCTGAAGGGGTGGTATTGGCCCTTTTTATCAAAATTTTCCAGTCATGGCAAAGTTTTCTTCAAGTAGACATACCTCTTACCAGTGTGTAATGCCAAGTGTGTGTGATATATGCCTTCAGTTGATTATACTCTTGGGAGCTTTTATGTTTTAAATCATGTTTCAGTGCTTGGTCAAATGCTATGAAGAAAAGACTCAATTTTTCCGCAACTGAAAGCCCCCATCTTTGCCCAAATAGGGGACCTCTTGCTGCCTTTTCTTGAATGTTGCCTGTATGACTGTGATAGTGGTGAGTAAGAGAGCTATAAATGGCTGCTGGTGAGGAGTAAACATCATGTGGTCGCTCACTTTGGAAGCTTGTGGAGTGGGAGGCATTTACTGAACCTTTGTGCACTTACTATAATCAGTGATTTTCTATGAAGTGCTAATGGTATATGTCTGTTTTCTCTTTTGTGAAGGTACTTCGTATAAAAAGGCTGCTTAACAGAGTTTTAGTGTTAAATATATAAAGCTAGTAACTGTTCAAATAAAGACAAATTTTATTTAGCCCGCAGGTGATTCATGCACAGTCTTGAATCACATAATATCAGCACTGAACATGGTCATTTTTTCCACATATGGAGGTATGGCCAAAGTCTGGACTAATGTCCTATTTTCTTTCCTCTTTCAAATGTTTTAGTCAGCTAAGGTGTTGTAGAAGAGCAGAAAATACAGACAGTTTGGAGTTACTAGTGCTTTTTTCGGACTAAATCTTTCATCTGCTTGCAGTTCACCAGTTTGAGAGTCAGGGATGAGTACATTTGGATGGAATACAAAATGGGAGATGCAATATTAAAAGCTGTGGTTTTGAAAAAAAAAGAAGTGAGATTTTTTAATTCACTGATTTATTTGTGTTTCCAGTTCTATCTATAGTGAATGGCACATGGATTCCATGATTTCTTATGTTAAAATGGCTATTACTTTGACTGTGGTTAACAAACTCAGAGACCCAGGTTTTTTTTGTCGTAGAAGCTAATGCTGGCATCTTACTGACTGTAATCAGAACCTCGGAGATTCTCAGAGTGGGAATGAAGTCTTGAGGGCTCAAAAACCCCCCCACTAATTTGATGATTCAAAAAAGCACTTAAGGGTGTGCTTAAGTCCATCCTTAACCAGGACAACATTTAGTCTTGTACTTGTCTTTAAGTATGTACTTTTTTTTTGTTTTCTTTAAAATGGCAATGTTGTGCAGTAGAATAAGGTTGACTGGAGCGGCAAGAGAGGCACTGGTAGATAGGCTGCAGCAGCTGAAAGAATAACCAGGGAGCATAAGTGTGAGGATTATTAATGTGCCATAAGTATTCTATTTTTGAGTTTACAGACTCCTATTGATCTCTGGAGGAGTTTGAGTTCTAAAAATAACATCCCTTTGGGAGCTGGGAGAGAGAGAGAATTGGAGCTGGACGGAAGGAGGTCTAAGTGGATTGAAACATCACAGGGAGATAATAGCGGGTCCACTGGCAGCGAAGGGAGTTCAGGTAGCAATTATAAGCAACCAGAGAGCTGGGGGTACACCTGAGAGCAGGATAATACTATTAGCAGATGTTAAAATAGTGCTGCTTGCAAGCAGTGTGCTTTACCTAAAATGTGAGAACAGTGGGCTTGATTTTCTGCAGCCCGTGAGCTCTGAGGCAAGGCTTATAGATATCTTGGCTGTTCCTGCAAGCGGCAGGGTGTTGCAGGGCTATAGTAAATGTTTGCTCCTCCTGTTGATTATCTAGTCTTTTAGGTGCGTGGCCTTCTAGATGACTGGGTTTCCTTTGACTAGAGCTACTGTCTCTTCGTGTGATTGGGAGGGCTGGGGACAGCAGGCCTTTTGGTGGATCCTACTGCCTAGTGAGAGTCCATGGCAGGGGGAAGAAGAGAGGCGCTTGCTCAACTGTACTGAATATGATACCAGCTGGGAGCTTTAAGCCCTGAGATCTTAAAGATATCAGCATTGATTTCAGGGGGTGCTGCTGTTAAAGATCTAGGATCTAAGAGGAAAACAGATCATTGCAAACTGGGGAAGGACAAGAGAATATTTGAAGAAACTGAGCATGCGGCTAAAAGGAATCAGTTCAGCCAGATTGCTTAGATGATTAGCAACACAGTAATACAATGCATCACCCTGTAATTTTAGTTTGTAAACTCACTGACAAGCCCACAGAGAAGCAGGGACAAGTAGGGACCTTGCACCTGGCCCACAAAACCACAAAACTGTCATCATGAGTGGAGGACTTTGTTCCCTTGGAACTAACAAAGGTTCTTCGCACATTCAGGAAGGCTGAGGCAGGAAGGCACCTCTGGAGACATCTAGTCCAACCTCCTTACTTAGAGCAGGGTGACTTAAAACAAGTTTCCCAGGGCTGTGTCTAGGCAGGTTTTGAACAGCTCCAAAGATGGAGACTCCACAACCTCTATGGTCAAGCTATTCCAGAATTCAACCACCCTCACAGTGAAAAAGTTTTTTTTTATGTTTACATGGAATTTCCTGTGTTTCAGTTTGTGCCCATTGCCTCTTGCTCTGTCACTGGGCACCACTGAGAACAGTCCGATGCTGTCTTCTTTGTACCCTTATCATCAAGATTGCTGGAGGCTTAGTGGGCACACACAGAATGATTGGTATGAGGAGGCTCGAAAATAAGGAAAGGCTAAACTAAACTACCTGGAAAATAAGGTAGAGGAAAATGAGCATGGAGCCCCCATGCTGGCCCAAAGAGTTTTCTACAGGATGCCACCTACAGGAAACCCAATCTTACTAAGATGATGAATCTGCTAAAATGGCATAAAAAAACCTCACATAACCCTATAAAACAGAATGCTAGGTTACAGCTGCTGTTCACTCTATAACCTGCCCACATTATATTTAGAGGCAGAATCTGGCCTATTTCAGTGGATGGATCAGAAAACATTTGTGACATCAAGGACCAAATTATGCTTATATGTGCCTGCTGCGTTCTGCACAGCAGCGCTAAATAGATACCCTCTATTCTGATCCAAGGCTTGAACATCTGAGCTTAATCATAGCTAGTAATGTTTCATCCACCCACCACTGAAAAACAGTCACCTGGTGATATTCAGGCACAGTCACAGAACAGTGTGAAAGAGAAAGAGAATACTCAATTGAAACACAAGGAGAGCGTGTGTAGGCAGGCGGTAATTATACAGGACAGAATTACACGTGCATTCATATCCTGGGGAGCCGTCAAATAGAGCTTTAAAGTCAGATTTTGTTTTTGAGATCAGAAAGATAAGTACATGAAGTCACCTGATTTGAAGGAAATTTCAGCTGAAATGAAATAGTAGATTGCCTTACTGAATTCGGTTAAGGGAAGATTAAGTCGTTTGATTACCAAAGGTCAAAGAGTGTGTTAATGCCATGAAGTGTGGTTTTATGACCTCTTTCATTTGGACAATGGCATTTCTCACTTCTTAAAGTGAAGTTCATTAACTTTTGACTTCTTTATTCTGAAGTCTCCAACGTTTTCAAGGAGTTAGTCAGTTCAAACCATGCAGGGCTTTTCTGAATAGCACTGTTTGTCTCCAGTGAAGTGTTTCTTCTCAAAGCTAAGCATTTCTAGTCTTTTGATTGTCCCTTCAATATTTGTTCAAATGTGTACAGCCTCCACATGTTCAGGAGCGTAGCAAGAACTCAACTTACGTAACACTGTGAAATATAGAAGAAGATTGTCATTTTTCTCTGTCTGTTTTGCTTTACTTTCTGAGCATTCTTGAAAGGTCTTGGAGTTCAGTAAAATTTACCACAAATTTACAAAAAATAGAGCTATCCCTTCTCCCCAAAATACTTACATCTTAACCAAATGCATGTCCTGAGAAAGTTAATATCTTGAATTTCAAAATCTATTTTCCACATTATTGACCTGACTGGAACCACTAATATCAACAGTAAAACTTTAATCAGCTTCAAAGGCAACAGGAATAGATGCTGGGTCTGGGTTTGAAACTAGCTGTGGCTGCTCAAGACGGAGACTTGGAAGTCCCTGTAGACAGGTCAATGGAAATTGCTTCTCATAGCCCCAGCCCTCAGCTAAACATTCTCCTGCCCCAACCTTCACCCTACACTTTACATAAGCAGATAAATTAATGCTGATAAGATATATACAGATAGGACAGAAATTATTATACTACCATGTGCTAGAGTACTGTGTTCAGTGCTGGTCAGTCACGAAAACTGAAGCAGACATAGGGGAGGAGTGGTGATGTGATAAAAATAGTTACAGGGACAGATACATTTCCATAAGAAGAGCAGCTGGAAAAAAACTGGAACTGTTCGGTTTGGAAAGGAGACAAAGAAAGAGCTTGTGCCCAGGATAAGGTCTAACAGGCAGAGGAGAGAAAGCAAAACAAATGCAAGAGCAAGGGGATTATCAACGCAATTGAAAAACTACACATAGATCTATCGCTAATAAAAGCAAATAGCGTTTCGGTTTTTATCTAACCAATGCATCTTTATTACCCACACTATGACTGTGGCGCTCTGCCATGCCTTAGCATTTGTCGCCCAGGCAGCAGCCCGCTGGTGGGAGGCAGCGGCTCACAGACACCACGTGCGTGCTGAGGGCGAACCTTTGGCCGAACTCTTCCCAGGACTGAGCACCTGTAAGAGCCGTGAAGTTTGTGCAGACAGAGATTTGGAGAGTGGGTGGCAAAAGCTAGGGAATCGAGAAGATGAGTTTCACACCCACTCCGTATTCCCCGTGCTCAGGTGTAAACAAGTACACTCGGTGAAAGCAAAATTGCAGGCACTAGGAATATACTCCCCCTCACAACTTAGAGCTGCTTTTATGCTTTCTCTCAAAATATCTGAGTACGATGGTAAATGGTTAATATCTGGTCTTGTATTTGTCACGCAGGTCTGGCAAGAGAAACTGCATGGATTCCAATGAATGGAGATCGTTTGAAATATTGTATATATTTGTATGAAGACAATGAACTTCCTAAATCTGCAATACCCCATAGGAAGCACCTTCTTTATACATTTATATCAACACTTTCTTCTTGTCCATTTTGCTTAACATAACTTGCAATTTGGTTTCCTTCCTTTTGCAAAAAAACCAATACAGACAAAAAAAATTTAAATGATTTCATGAAATGCAGATTGAATGAGGAATATAATGTCTAATTTCCTGGTTATAGAACAGGTTTGGAATCATGTAAAATAAAGGAAGTGAAAATATTTAAGGAGGTGATCTTTATGGTAAGTTTAGCTAAATTCTTCTTTCATTGTAGAGCCAAAATATTCCTTTTCCTTGAGAATCTAAAATGCAGTGGTATTCTGATATTTATGCATCACTTCTACTTTGTACAGTGAAAATACAAGATGTGAGCTAGCTGACAGAAATCCTGCAACCTCTATTCAAAAAAACAGGCTTGATGGAATGTACTCCTCGATATAGGTTGAAGAATTAACTATCTTCAAAAGCCCAAATAAAAAGATGACATGGATATATTGATGCTGAGCAAAAATCATATATGATCACACTGACTCTTACATATAATGATTAAACCCTGACACTTGTTTTATATGGACTGTACATAAATGAAGACTGTTCAATGCATATTCTATTTTTGGAAACGAGAACTTATTGTTAGAGAAATTTAATACACTGCGTTTCCTTGATCTCACTTGTGTCATTTACTGTGAAGGGATAAGAGGAGCTGTTTTGTAATAATAGTCTTCTACCACTGATTGAAACTCTTCTACATGCTTTGAAACTCTGCCTGGCTCTTGTTTATTCGATTAAAATAAAGATAACTATTCTGGTAAGAAAAGAGATTTCAAGTTGAATATTACTAGCACTGACATCCATTTAATTCTTGTTTGCTACATGACACAATGCAAAAGCTAGTTGGCAATATTATTATATTTTAAGTTATTCCATATATTTGCATGGCTTTGTACAGGAAATTAGAAAGGGGTCTTACTCACTGCAGCTTTCAATATGCAGTACCAACATTGCTTGCTCTCCCGCTTCATTCTTATATGCCTTAGGCTGATTTCTCTTAATGTATCCCTTGGAGGCGAACAGCCTCCAAAAGGACAAGTTGAAATGAAAGTGTCAAGAGGCAAAATGCATCAGGAACACCTTTCATTTACATGCTGATAAGATTAACGTGCCTATTGAATTGAAAATGCACAATTTTCCCCCATACTGCATTATCAGTCCCTGATACTGGACTGCTTTGTTCCTGCCAATATGGAAGGGATGAAAAGAGGAGCAAACATAATCCTTTGAGGTAAAAGCATGTTGAAGGTGAGACAACTGAAGGACTCAGCTTTTACTAGCCTTTACTCAGTTTAAAAATATTCTCTACAGAGAAGTGTGGAAAGTAAAGCCACTTTTTTCCCCTGCCTTCACAGTTAGGAAACTTCATGGTCAAAATCCCAGGCAATGGGAAGATCTGGGAGCAATGGAAAACCTTTTCCCTGGAAAACTGAGCATCCAGTCAGACCTACTGGCTCAGTGAGCTCTGAATTTTCTTTTGCCTGGCAAAGCTTTTGTTTATTATTGTCCTTATATTGTCTTTCAGTTAGTAGATGCCAATTACTTCTCTCTGTTAGTAAGACAACACACAGAGGCAAGGGCTCCCACTTGTCCCATTAAACAGGCCTTCTCTGTTATTCCAAGGTTAGGCCTACGTCAGATATTTTTAAAAAATACAGTGAGATAAATCCTGTTAAACGCAGGAATGGACTATATGCTATTTTGCAGTTGCTTGTTTTGGAGAAAGATGGCCCTTCGGCCCATAAAACCTACAGAGCTATTAAAAAAGATTCGACTTCTAAGTCTCATCACCTCGGAGCATGCAAGTGAAAAAAAAAACCCATCCTGACACAGAAGCGTGCCTTTTCTGACAAATTCAGCTCCTTGATCCAAAGCGGGGAGGTACCACCAGTGACCATCAGAACATTTTAATTGGGGCAGGGGGGAATGACAGAACAAAAGAATATTTTCCCTAGTGTCACTTTTATTTTAACTGAAATTTCAAAATACATATGATTTTAAATCATCCTGAGGTTGACAACTAACGTGTCATGAGGACCAATGACAATCCTGAGTTAGGTTTTAGTACTATGAGGAATCTTTGATAAAACATAAAGTCGGTTACTAAGTGCTGGGAAAAAGAACTTGTGAAGGATCTGTGTGTCTTTTAGCTAGCAAACTGTTAAAAAACGGTCTGAACCAGCATATGCTAGTGATGTTACTTTTCATCTACATCTTATGAAAGGGCCGGACTCTAGGGCGTACATAGACGAGTGAAAGATGTCCCATTAACCCTCCAGTCTGTTACTTCTAGCATGGAAAACGTTGGCCACAAATGTTACATTTTGGCACAGATTTAAGAAAAGGTCAAGGTCTTACAATGAACGATGACCATAGAAATATATACAACAGGTCTTGCTAAATAAAATCTTGCCTTTTTCATTTGCTTACCTGTCAGCTGTTGTGGTATGAGCTATACTCACTAACTGCATATTCACACTTCATAACTCTGCTGTTACATGAGCATTCCTAGACAGTGAAGCTATAGTAATGGCTGGAGCAAAATGAGCAGTTAATTTTTTTGAACCATGGAGAAATTAAACTCCCCTCCAGTTCCCAAACCCCAGCTTGTTTAACGAGGGACCCACAAAATAAAGCAGAGTAACCGGATTTCAGTATCATCCCTGCGCTGTTCTCTGGATAATGCTGCAGTATCATGAATCGAAGGGACAGTATTGCACTGGTGTCACTAAGCTCAGCACATGTAAGATGGAGGAAGAGTTTTCTTTGTTGACTTTCCACCCAGCTCTATGCACTATATTTTTTGCCATTGCTGAAAGAGGGACTTGTTTCATCTAACCAAATGTATTTTTCCAAGAAACCACTGACTGATATGGTGGAGACATCTTCTCTTAGCAAAATAAAAGTAGTTATTGGCTGTGTCCACAGCAAAGTATTTGGTTTAGTGAGATGCCAAGATCCTAGCACATCATGGAAGAGACTTGTAACCGTAAGCTGCTGAATGGAAACATGCTCTAAGGATTGTTCAGATCTTCTGCCCAGAAAATGCAAACACATTTAACTTAGAAGTAGACAAATAAATTAATAATTTCTGTTACCTGAAAATTTTTGATGAGTTTGAGTTTAATCCATTTCAATTAAAAGATTATAATGCATCTGCATTATTAAGAAAAGTTATGCTACTTTTCTTAAAACTCAGAAAAGTTGACTTTCTGCCACTTGAATTCTAGAACTAAGCAGGCAGTTTTGCATTTTCTCTGGTGGAGTAAGCTGTTATCTTTAGGAGTTCAAGGAAGACCCCCACTGCGCTATTCTCCTCGCAAGCATATGAAGGGGAGATGCCTCCCATGCAGAAGCACTGAAGGATCTAATCACTGAAGGTGAAGGATTAAAGGCAACAGCTGGACAAAACACAAAAATCCCCTAAACACTGAGAGGATATTCTCACAGCTGGTGGTCAGGCTCAGCCAAAATGGGGAGCACTGCAAGCACATCTGTAGTTACATACAACTGTGCTTACGGAAGTGACCCCCCCCCCCAAAAAAAAATCAAAGTCCCAAGATGCAGTTCATTGAGCTCAGTGACATCTAACCAGAGCTGTGCTCAGTGCAAGCATATCAATGATGATGGCCATTTTATTTATTTATTTATTGTTACATGTGGTCAGTACACTTTTATGGCAATACATGATAAACATTATACACATTGGCCATCTTGTTTTATAAAAATTGACATATTGTTGAGAGAAAGATCCACTGAATTACAGAGGGTTGTCCAAGGAAAGTAGTTTTATTTTTCTTACTAACAGCTTTAGAGCCAAAATGCTGAAACTGTTTTCTTCTGTCCTTGTAACTAAATCCTGGTTTCCCTAACGCGTGAACATTTCATTTGCAAATGCATTTTGGCTTTAAAAGTGAAGCAAATTAATGAATGTGCTTTGCAAAAAACCTCCCAATTTTTGACTATGAGCTACCTAGTACATGAATGAGCAAAACTCCCACTAATGTTAATTTTGCACCCCCAAAATGTACTGCGGCTTTGTTCTTTACTTTACATACCTAGATAAAAACAGTTCTCTAGAGGCAAAAAAGTAAGGGCAGGATAAAAGATCAGTCAAACTTGATAAAATTCCATTTTCCTGTGTCTTTGGTAGTAGTCTAAAGCCATTTAGAAAATAAACAGGTCTGTTCAAATGTTATACTCACCTCCCACTATGTTACTTAGCAGTAACTACAAAGTGGATGTTTTCAAAGCTACCCTACAGAAGACTTGTGACTAACTGCAGATCTGACACTTAGCAGTGCAATAGCAAAGTAGCAAAATGAATATGAACTGTGGATTTCATAGGCACAGGTGGCTGGCAAATCTTATCTCGTAATTAATTAAATTTGATTTTGTTTAGATGTCGTACTATGAAAAGTGACCTTATTCTTTGCCATACTTTTAGTGAAATTGGAATTTGATTTAATGGTAATTTAAAACAAAACCTGAGATTTTTTTTTAAAGACCAAAACAAATATCTAAAAGCATCAGGTCAATCCTTTAACAATGTTGGAAGTATCTAATTTACGTGGCCTCATAGCGTAGCTGTGAGCAATCTAAAACAACATCAGCACCTTCTTTCAGCTTTAATTTGAATGGGGAGGAAAGGTCACAAAAAAAGAGAAAAGCAGTTTGGGAGGTGCTCTGCTGCGCACAGGGAAAGTTTCTGCAAGAGGGGTGCTTCCTTAAATGTTTGCAATAATCCTCAGGGGCTGCATTTGAACGTGAGGGCAGGCGTGCTTCTGCGCAGCCCCTGCACCCGGGCGGGCACGGCAGCTGGGGAGGCAGAGCTGGGATGTGCCCAGCCGCCCCTCTAACCACTATACCAGCTGCTGGCCAGGACGAACGTGGGTGATGTACCTGGGGTCTATTCCCAACAGGCAGCCTAGGCACTGCCGAAGTGTACGCGCAGAAGGTAGAGCTGCTTGTGGGTCCCACCGCTTACCCAGTGAAACGTGCCAAAGTGTAATACACCTGTCTGG